CACACACACACACACACACACACAGAGTTTCTGAGACAGCAGAGGATCAGCCGAACTGGAGTTGGGACCCAGCCCACATGTTTGCAGGCCTGTGCCTGTTTTTGGCCAAACGGCCTCTCAGCTGGACAGCAGATGGGAAGCTGAGTCGGAGAGTGGCGGACCCAGTGGTATATAGGAGAGGCCAAACAGCCAGCGGTAGAGGAGGTGGTGGAGCCCAGCGCTAGAGGAGATAGAGCAGCGCTGTGTAGAGGTAGAGGACAGTGGTAGTGGAGGTCACTCACCTGGTGCCATACCTTGGAGGTCTGCCACCAGCCATATCCGGCCTACTTCTTCGTGACATCTGCAGTGCATCAACGGGCTCAAGGCTCTGCCTTTTCACTAGTCAGTATAACCTCCATGCGGGTGAGAGCGAGAGGAGACGCCACCGGCAAGCCATTCTTGCATCGCCGATGGCTACTTGATTCTTCACACTCAATGCAAGGACCAACTCTGTGTGCCTCAAGACCGCCGTCTTCGGACTCACCTTCTCGGCGAGTACCACGACTCGCTCCTCTCCGGTGACCTTGGAGCAAACCGCACGATTGCTCGAATGCGGTCCAAGTTTCGATGGTCCGGCTTGGAAACTGACGTTCTCAAATATTGCGAGTCATGCGAAGTTTGTTGTCGAAACAAACCCCGCAATCGTAAGCCGTACGGCGAGTTACGACCCTTGCCCATTCCGCGCGAACCTGGCGTCTCCGTTGCTATGGACGTCACGGGTCCCTTTCCGTGGGATTGCCTCGGTCATGACGACTTTCACGGTTGTTGACCGGTTGAGCAAGTACGCTTGATTCCTCACATGCAAGTACCATGCTCCCGCTCCCAAGCTTGCATGGATCTTGCATGTCGGCTGGATTTGTAGCCATGGCGTTCCGGAGGACATCGTAAGCGACCCTGACACTCGGTTCATGTCGGTCTTTTGGACTGCTCTCATGAAGGAGTCCGGCGCCACCATGAAACCAAGTTCCGCTTGGCATCCACAAACGAACGGGCAAACAGAGAGTGCACATCAAACTGCCCAAATGATGCTCCGCACGCTCATCCGACTGGATCAAAAGGACTGGGTTGACCGTCTTTCCGACATCAGTTCGCATACAAGACTTCGTTGCATCCAGCGATTGGAGGCCGGAAAGGACGGATCTTCGCTGACCTTCTTCTTCCGCAGGCCACCGACATCGACGCCCTTGCACACCCGCCTCCATTCGGAAGATGCGGGAGCTGCTGGCCAAAGCCCGCGCAGCCATGCAAAAGGCCCAGGTCCGCATGCAGCAGCAAGTGAACCGGCATCACGTGCCTTGTCCCATCCATGAAGGCGACCTGGTCTGGGTCTCCTCCGAGGAGTTTGCGCTGGAACGTGATGTCTCTCGCAAGCTCCTCCCTAAATGGTTCGGGCCTTGGCTTGTTCAGTCCGCAGCTGGCGATCAGCCCGACGGGCCGTCTTTCGTGATTGACATTCCGCCTCATCTGCCGGTCCATCCCATCTTTCACGCTTTGAAGCTAGCTACCTATACGCCGGCCAAGAGCAATGATTTTCCAGATCGATGACCGCAGGACCCTCCTTCAATGGATGGCCACCAGGAGGTTGAGCGGGTCATTGCACACCGCCACTACGACAACAAACCGACGCAGTACAAAGTCAGAT